TTCCACCCACGACTTCGTGAACTAGTGTTATGCAAATTTCGCAAATTTATCCGTCTTTATTTTCTTAACAGAATCTTTAATCTTGGAATTTACGATATTCGAGAGTTCACCACTATTGTGAATCATCCTCAAGTCGCTATTTTGGCTGTTGGGAGTGGTTTGCCAGAGGCTTGTATCTCAACATCATATACCGAAAATGAAATAACTTTTTCAACCAATATAACGCTAACATTGTCAGTTGACTCACGATGTGTAAGTGAAGTTGCTGCAAGTTCTTTCTTGAAGTACGTTTGTAGTTTGTTAGGAGACTATCCGCATCTTTTACTCAATGGTGATCCTGTTTCTTTGTCACTGAAGAGTAATCATACTTCCTCTCAACAAGATGAATTTGATAATCTAATGCTTTCAAAAGTGAATACAGATATTATTCAAACCTTAGTTTGATTCACTGATATGTGCTGTATCTTTCTATTTCTCCTACTTTAATTTCTTCTATACTTACAGTTATTCTATTTTGAAAGTTAGTATACGTCTGTAAAAGCAACTTTCATTGAAAAAATTAGGCTAGTAATGATTTCGGCTGTTAACTTTTGTTATACTGACTATTAATTAGAATTCTTATTTGTACTGTCGTATCATGGATAAATACATAACTAATAAAGTAAAAGTAACTTACTAACCCTCGCGAATAAATAATATTTATTATTCTAAATAATACATATGAGTTATGCACTTGGGTATTATTACTGAATTTTATTAGAATTAATGACAGTGCGGATGATCATTATCAGGCAGTAAAGAAATCTTTATATTTAGTTTGGAAGTGACTGGTATTGAAGTATAATCTCGTCCCTAAAATCATAGTCTCTATAATAAAAACACGTATCGTCAATTCTCATTATTCTTACATAATGCAAGAAGTAAAGGAAAAGTTGCTAGAAATTATCAACTAAGTGGTTTTTACGTAAAATAAGTGACGAAAAAAGTCAGCATATTTCCCACTACCTGTCATGCGGTTCGTTCTCACAGTTACACTTCAGGGAACTGATAAGTCTTGCAAATTGAACGCTATATTCGGTTCCTAAGCTATTCTCGTAACCCCCAAGCTAGAAATACACAGCGTCCTGAACACGAGAGAAAAGGCGCAAGATATGCGAGAAGCACTATACTTCAAAGGTTCGTTTTAGTACAGAAAATATAGGGTTTTTATAATATTGTAGATGTCCTTGGGTTTCCCGAAAATTCTGGAATGCTACTAAGCATAGTAGCAGTATATTAGTCAGAAACTCTACATGTGACTCCTCACTTTCTTAATGTTTCTGGCTAAACTTCTGGTGAACGCTGATTGGACAAAATGCTTCTTAGTGTTTGCTGAGCCTTTCTTGTCTTTTGAGAGAAGTTTTTTGGATCGCCCCAACAGGAACTTCACTAATATTCTCATCGACCGACCTCTCATTTGTAGGTAGTTGAGTCCCCAACCGTTGTTGCTACCTTGACGTGGTGGTCGGGCTTGCCTATCGTGATGAAGCAACCGAGCTATACTGGCTGGAACAACCGTTCCTCAAGGTCCTACCATGTCAGACAGGTCGGTTGGAGAGCGGTAAGACTAAAAGCAACAAACCCAAGGTCCGAAGGCGAAGTCGTACTGCTGACTGTACAGAGGTGTGACAGCAGTAAGGTGTTCTCTTCAGACAACCAGCATGACAGCGATGCTACCTTCCCACAAGGAGGGGTGGGGTTAGAAAAGATCGACCCTAAAAATGCACACCTCGCCTTATCCCACGATATCCGTCTCCGGCGGTAAGGTCTCAACAAGTACGGAGCTAGCACAAAAATTACCCATAAAAAGGTCGTGTGTGACCGACCTCAAGCAGTTGTCCCTTGGGCACTGCAGTCACGCTCTCAGGTCACTAAGACCACCTCTAATCCAATTTCCTTTTCAGGAACCTCCAGAAGAACCCTTCCACGGTGTGGGCAACCGGGAAGTGATAACCGCCCTCATACCTCTAACAGCACTCAAGACCACTAAGGTAGTTGAATTATGTTAGGATGTCCAGCAGTTGTACCCACTTGCCCATGCCAAAACGTTATGGTACAATTACATACCACACGTCGTGGTATTGCGAGAATAAGAGCATCCCCCGAAGCTATGTTTATTGGCTAAACATTGATAATTAAGTAGGAGAATATGTATTAGGATGTTCACTATGTCCAAGTGTACAAAGCCCCAAGAGAAATCCAGCTTCTCTTTTTGCGAATCTCTGCTTACCCACAGTCAAGAGTAAATGTTGACTTATCGAATAACACAAATCAATAAGCCACGAGTACACTAAGCGAATTTGAACAAAAAAGTTAATTCTAGCGAGCGCATTATGAGTTCAACAAAAAGTCGGATGGGAAAGCGATACGAAGTGACTATTGTTGGGACAGAAATGAAGGAAGAGAAAGCAAGTGAGCCAACTCGTTTTGATAAAGCGGGATTCAATATTTGTAGTCAGACAAAAACAAGCTACAGACGTAATGAATAGGGTAAGTAATACACACACAAGGTCGTGGAAAACACAATCAAGGTTAGTCAACGAACAATTGACAAGGTCAAAATGTGACTCAAGAAGAATGTTATTGTACCTAAGCGGCCCGTTAATGTAACTTCGATTTGAAAGGATGAATGGATATGCCGTGAATGGGAATCTTCAACTTTGTATATTATACCTAAACTATCCCCGTTTGTGCGACAGCGGTATTAAGCCAAATTCAAATTGGGTCGGATTATTTTTTCCGGCGCTGGTTTATTTGGACGGACAGATATTAAGAATGAGAAGTGGAAAAGAAAAGCAAAGGGGGAAGGCAAGTGTGATAACTCCATTTGACAAAGCGTGACTCAATATTTATAGCCAGAAAAATAAGCTAAAAGCATGTAATAAATAGGGTAAGCGATGCAAAGAACCACTCATATGAAAGTATGATAAGCGAATAGTTGACAAGGTGAAAATAAGACTCAAGAAGAATAAATAAACTGCTCTGTCCGTAAACCAGAGTGACCTGTGTGGGCTTTCTGATATCTGGACGAAGAATAAGCAAATACCAATCGCTAGAATCTATTTGTGGATTATTGTTGTTATATTCTTATCGAATAACTATTAAGTAATTTTATTATGTGTATATTTATATTCCTTTTATCATAAGCTTTCATTTGACTTATGGACTACTATTATACGGTTTACTGTGTGGCGCATATATATTTGGTGCCATCTTGTACCAATATTTATATGTTCAAATAAATAAAATACGGTTTACTATCCTTATGTTATTCCCAGTTTATTAGTGACAGTCTCTCACAGCCACATTTAGGCTTGATACTGTATAATTATTTTTTGTTTTATGACGTAGTCTGGTTTGCTTGTATATAAACCAAGTATGTCTGGGAAATATTATTCATACAGTCCAAGCTGATATTGGTATTCTGGACTCAACTGACAGGGCTACGCTAGGATCAATAAGGACTGTAGACTGCTCGCACTGGTCAACGCGTCATTGGCTTGGTACAATGCTAAGATTGCACAAGTCGTGTTCTGATTAACAAATAAGTCACGTGATAACTAACAAGGCACAAGTCAGCAGATAGAAAACCATGTAAACACCTTTTGAACTGAAGTTGGATTGTATAAATTTCAAGCTAAAGCCAGTAATGAGTTTTTTTTCTGTAAAAACGATAAGATATGTCTATGAAAATTACACTGAGGCTCCACGTTTCTGTAACAGAAATTTACAAGGGAACGTCAGATCGAAAACGTACCGTCAAAATTAGGAAACAAATTGGAGTATCAGTTTTGCGCACTCGATAACATAACAGGCTCGAAATGTTACTATATAATACACATATTATACTTATATTTTGTTACTTGAGATAATTTTTGTCAGTTGGATTGATCTACGATATCAATCGTCGAGTAGATGATGTATCATTGATAAACCTTCTAACATCTAACACCAGGCACAATATATATAATAATCTGTACCATTAGTTGGATTTGGCAAGGTTGCCTAATCCCATGATTTGCCATCCAATGACATTTGGAAAATTTTATTAACAAAGTACATAGTGACGTGATTGGTTTCATCTTACTGTGTGATGATATACAACGTATTCAAACGTTACTCAATGTATATCACTGATACGCAAGTGTTTAAACAATAGTAGGCAATTGTATCTGTAGTAAATGCTGATGTAGATCGTCATCCATACATTGATACTAATCTGTGCCCAACTAGTGTACATTGATTACAAGATTACTATTTTTGAGTAAGACCAGCATGTTTGATTATGTAAAGTAATGCAGTGTGGTTGGAGAAGCTGGAAGTCATTTTCGAAATAAATGGGTTGAACTCAAAACATTGACTTCGGTAAAGTAGGTGCAACTAACACTAAGCAGCTACCGTAGTTATTATAGCTGGTATATATTAAGATCTGAAACCAATAAATCACGATAAGATGACTGTCTTGTGAACATTTTAATCGTTTGTTAAAGCCACGAAAACGAGTAAGTAATTGAGCGAGATTGGTGACTTTGGTTAACTATAATTGAAGCAATAAGCTGCTCAAAAATGTTGTAAATCAACCTCCTAACATTTATCCAGTAAGACTAGAACAATAAAATAATAATTGTCTATGTAGATATTAGGAGTAGGCCACATTTAGCCTCACCGTCAAGCTCTATTTGTGATAATTATTTTACATTACAACCAACTTCAGGAATAACTAACAACACAAAAAAAATATTAATGAACTATTATAAGAATGTAACAATTACGAAACGTACTATATTTCCACTTAACATACAACAATAATGTTTATATTTTGAGAGAAAAGGTGATAAATTACAACATAACATGCCTAATGTATTTAAACACTTAAAGAAAAAAAAAGCCAAATTGAATGAAGGGTAAGTTCATGAAGTGAAAATGTTGGTTTACGGAATAAACATTTCATAAATAATTGTTTAAAAGTCTTCATCATCAGGATCATCATCGACTGCGTCATTATCAGAGTCTTCTTCATCCTCTTCTTCACTATCATCAACCATCATAACACGTTTATGTGAGCGAGCTTTCCTTGGTGGTAGGAGAGATTCTACAGTTGATGTGTTGATACGTATGGATTCAACAACAGAAACTGTTCCTCTAGATTCAGTAGCAGATAACGAACGGGGATGATTATGAGATCCAGGTGGAAGATTTGTTTTTGAGATAACAGAGACGGAACTGTTTGTTGTACGAGATATACAATACGTTGGCTTACGTGACATGCGTCTCGCTTTGCTACTGAAAGAACTTCGACTGGCACTGTCATCTACCCAGTGAGAAAAAAACCCCACCAAAATCAAGTAGGAATATATGCATGAGTCATTTTATATATAAATATACAAGCGATGATTTGTTTGAGGCAGATAACTAATCAACAGTATGTGACTAGATGGTCGGTCAGTACACATGAGACCCAGTTACTTCTTCCCATCAAGACGATAGAGAACGGAACAGCGAAATATCTGTTCGTGTGCACTACGGATAGAATAAACAGGCTACATGGGTACCTATATGTCAGCTGATTATTTTATAGCACTTTTCTGGTAACTAGCATTAATTATTTTATTCATGTCAAAATCTCGTACAACAGCACTAAAAATAGAAAGTGCCACGCAAAACAAAATTTGTGTGTTGGTGTAGTGGACGCTATTCACAAGGATGCTTGTAATCAGTGTGTAGCAAAACATGGTGTTAAAGTTTCAACAATTGTCGGGCAGAGTGAAGATTTTCAGTGCACTGAAAGCACAGCGTTGGCAGAACACACCGAAAGATGCAAATGGACGAATGAAGGCTATGGATATGTATTATGTAAATACTTCGTAACTTCCTGCAATAAAGACACATACATCCTATCTATTGTCGTGATTTACACTGGAATAATAACAAAAACACTAATAAGACCAGGTTGTTTTCTTAAGAGCCCAGTCCCCGAGTTGCTGCCTTATGGTATCTAGTGACCAAAAGTAGGTCCATAGGCCATTCGTTCTCTCAGGGTTTTGGAGCCCAGTGGTTTAGAATCAAGGTTTTTAGATCTATTAGGTAAACTCTCTATATCGACCAAATCGAAAAAACACGAGATATGATTGCAGTATGAGAGCCCTTCAAGAGAAACAGAAAGTAGACGCCCCCATTCTCGGCCCTAACGGGACATAACTAAGAGCTTATAATATAGTTTGAAAGATGAATGGAGTGCTTTTTCGCAAGTTTTCCTCGTTAAGTAATCACTACTAAGTAAAGATCTAGTATAGCAGCCAAAGTCTGAGCGTTGATCTCCCAAGTACGTATGGGATCCTAAAAACAATAACAAACCCTCCACTTTGTGGTTGTACTATTAGCCACCAACAATACCGCCATCTACTTATCACATTTTTTTCGGAAGAAAACTAATAAAGCTTCCCCAATAAAAACCTAGAACTATTGAAAATCTTACCATCATCCATTGGATCATCCATAGTATCTTCCTCATCATCTAAATCATCCAACCCTCCAAGACTATCCTCATTCATTGAATTATCGGGGATATTTTGCTGACCATTTCTACCTGTATTACCGGTAACATCGGTAGCTGATGTGTTACAGACAACATATCGTGGTCCTGTTGATATAGGTGCATGTTTTGACGTCTCACTTGGCTCATCTTCATCGTCTTGTTCATCTTCTTCATCATCTTCATCGTCTATAGTAACATGCCTATGTTGACTAGAGTAACTATTGTACTGACTTGATTGACGAGAATCAGATTGTTGACGTGATTCAATTTCTTCCAATCTTTCTCGAGCATTAGTCCAAACTGACTGCAATACCACTGAGTCTTCAAAGATCTTTTCGAAGAAAAATAGCATAGTTTAATCTATCTGATAACAATTATAAAACAAACATATACCGCTGTTTGAAGATGAGTAAAACATTCTACTAATTGAATACATATATGGAATTGTACTTTAGTAATAAAAGAGAAATGACTATTAAACGGTTCAGTAGTAATAATGTAGATTTTCACAAAATTGAATAAACTCCAATGTTAGGGGGACAGATTGGATTAAAGCATGCTCAGTGCACGACTGCTTTGGTGCACACTGATTGGCTAATTCTTACCCAATCAGCGCTAGTCGATACTTGGAGAATGATCTAGAAATTCCATGTAAAAACCATAAATACACTAACGTTTTCCCTAATGTGCTTCTTAATTCTATCTAACCTTGTCATTTGGAATATAATCTCTTTCCTGTTCAACCGTGTTCTGATTTGGGGACTTGTCGAGTGAATTGGTGTCCGAGAATACTAAGCAGTAGGAATAGCTGGGTTGTAATAAGAGAGAATTATAACACCCAATGTAAGCAAGTTTCGCAGAGATAGAAGTGGATATTAACAGGAAAACGAATACAAATTGGTACCAGAATTAATAAAGAACCACAGGTAGACAGAAGTGAAATAAAAGGAAAGAGATTATGCAAAATTAGTCAGTTAGCCACACGCAACGCAGAACGTGGCACATGTGTTTGTCGGTTCAGTTTGCATCTACCAGGGTACAAGTCTATGCACTTTGTCATAAACTGATGTCACACTGTAAGTCTCTAATAAAAAAAGAATCTTTAAAATTAGGAAACCACCTTACGACTGAATTTCAGATCTGACCTCAAAAAATGTGATAATTACTTCAGTTCGCATAACTAACCACAAAAGCGCCCAAAACATGAGGACCAATAAACAGTTCTATTTCTAGATCATGAAGTATAATATTCAGTCCAATTTTTAACAACTTAATTAGATTCAGTAATATAAAACAAGGCTGTAATAAACTTATCGTTCCATTTAAGATGTGATGCGATGGCTAAACAATCGACTGTTCGCGGAACGAGGCATAGAGCTTTATTGACTACCCTTTGTAAATAAGTACACATAATACCAAGTTTGTGAACTTTATTTTTTATGGAAAGTGAATAGCACTGCTTCTCTATAATTTAACAATAAAAAAATACAGTAGTTTTCAGGGTAAGGTGAATACAATAGAAAACGCTAAGTATAACATGAAGAACAAAATTATGAACAGACTCTTGATTTTCATCTACTGTACGCTCAACACTAAGGTCACATTCAAAATAAACTTTGTTCCGCAACTTAATCACACATATAACTTACTAGACTTCCATCCATATTATATGTTTGGGCGTTTTTACACAAAAGTAAAATATCAGCTTCCAGTTCATCTACAGATCGGTATTTTCCATCTTTTACACGCTGTCGAATACGATTAAAATCTACAGGCTTTTTAATCACTTCATAATAGTCTGGCAATTCTTTTCTTGTAGGCAATTTCATAAACGGTTCACTAAGAATTCTTTGATCTCTAAAACAAACAACAATTTATCAAAACAATATCCGAAAACAAAACAGAAAAACAATTCTGAAGAAATCTAATTGAGACAAAAGTGTCAAGTATTTAAAAAGAACGGAGTTACTACATATGAGATAAAAATACACGTTCATATTAAGATAGATATATGTGTATGGGCAACCGGTGAAGTAATAGACGTCTGATTAAGATATAACTAACTTGATTTCAGTTTGAACAGTTCTACCATTATGCTAAACAGGTAACATGAGTAGTGAGGTCAACTGGTTGAGATCTAGTCTGATGACATTAAATATAACATTACTGACAATTTTGACAAGACGAATATTTAAACAATTGTAAGAGTCTAAATTTTAAACGCTGATTAAAGCATGATGTAAATAAATTAAAATTTACTAAATAATGCTCACAGTTATTTTGGATAAGTTACGAAAAGAGAAAAAAGTACTTAAGAAGTAAAAAAAACCAATAAACTATTTAAAAGTAAATTAATGAACCATAGTAATGAAGACTGAGAAGCGTCACAAAGGTACAATTTCGGGTGCTTCTGCACCAATAATCAGATGAATGCTAGAAATAATATGATGGTATTAACACTATCAGAATTATCTTAGAGGGTAGCTAACCTGGTTATCATAATGCTAATATAAACAGAATCCAGTTAAAACTGAACACGACATAACATGAAATTATTTCGAATAGACTATTTTATATAGCGTGAACCTATATAGTGTTAGTTGAGATCTGAACAGTTCTATATTACTGGTTTTGATTGTGGAGACACATTTTGATTATTCGAATTCCGAGACGTTACTAAAGAGAAACCACATGAAAAGAAGATTCAGGTCAAGTAATTCTAGGTGATTGCAGGTTAGTATGTAGTTTATTTTACTTCTGTTAACTCATGGCAGAAGTATGTTTTTTTGTTATCACACGAAGTTAAAAAATGATAGTATTTAACCGAGTCTAGAAGGAAATATAGAGTCAGTGCACTATTCAGAAAATGGTACGCATTAACAGAAGCTATAAATAATAAGCGAGACATACTTGTCTTTGTATTCTATTACAATATCTAATAAACGTTGTAGTTTTTTAGCTAACTTTGGTGAAACTGATTGATTAGATGATCTGGATGTACTCCCAGTAGAAGAACCATGAGGTGGACGTCCACGGCGACGTTTAGCAGCTTGTGGTGCAGCCATAATAACACTTCCAGTTTCTGAGCTCCCATCATCCATAAAACTAGGATCCTTGACCAAACGACCCACCCCCGAAATAAATATCAGTAAATAAATACAAGTGGTCTTTAAATTATGGACCATTAATAAAAAAAGAAATGAGCCACAATAATACATTAGAAATAATAACTTCTGTCAGAAACGAGAATAACCGGCCTATTCTTTGAGGAACAATTGTAGTCTTCATTCATCGGTTCAAGTTGGCACATTATATCAGGACAACATGATGAAGTTAGCAAGAGTAGTAGGAGTAATAACAGAATCAGTGGTTGTAGAGAGGATTAGGGACAGATAATGTGATTCGACATGAAAGAATGGATTTCAAGAATAAAAGGTGTAAGATGATTTAAAACTCAAGATTTAAGCGAAGACAAAGAGTGAATGCATTTAGACCATTATGACTGATTCTGAACTATGCCAACAACCAGATAGTCTGCATCTACATAAACGGATCAAAATAATAATCAATGATTTCGTGGACCGATTTCAAGTCTTGGTGTGGCTACTGTTATTTTTCTTCAAACCTACTCCTATACCAGCCAATAACGTGCGTCCAGGTAGGCCGTTGTTAGGAATATGTAACATATATCCTGGTCAACTCAGTTGATGAAGACTCACTACCACACCGACCGATTCTCCGTCTTTACCTGATACGCTGCGACGAACCTCAGTATTGCTCACTCAATGATTCTATAGTATACATTATTGATGATCAACTTAGCTAACTGTTTTGAACAACACGTTTTTTAGTTGTGATTGATACAAAAAGCTACCACTATGGACACAGTTTCATTGTTGAATCATAGTAAAGTGGTGGCTTAGTAGTTGAATCACTCATCCTTTAACTACCGGATCGCAATCATTTTAGATTGAGCAACATAGTTTCATTAAAATTCACATAAAAAGCTTGACTAAAGGTGAGTAAATAAACCAAATCTATTAAGTGCGCGGATAAACAAGGTTAGCTGAATAAATTTACCAAGAGATGTTTTTAAATCTTAAGTGATGAAAAAAAGCTTATGAAAAATACTGAATGCTTTTTCATAAAGAACTTTCTTCACTAAACTATTTATACAGTCGATAGTGTGCACAAATATAAATGTAAACTGGTGATCTAATATTAACTATTTATTTATATTTATGAATTATTACTTTAAACAACTAGAAGTGAAAATTCGGGAGTCGAATATGTGGTTCTGAGATGTTAACAATGTAGCGAGTAATAATATGGTGGCTGACTGACTTTTTTTTCAAAAATCATATAAATCAGTGTTTTTATAAATGATCACACAACTTAAAATTTCAGTAGCCTACTAAAACATATCTCAGAGATTCACTAAACAGATAGAGTAGTGTTTAGTACACTTAAAAACCGATCTGTTATGCAATATTGAGATAAATATAAAATACATTAAATGAACATACATCTAATCGCTTGCGTTTTTTTCGTGCTGCTCGTTTTTGACGCTGACGTTCTTCAGCTTCTTCTAAGCTACCCTCATCGATTGCTTTAAGAAACTGACGCTCAGTGAGTGCATCTGAATAATCCACTTCTTTACGCTGACGTTTCATTCCAAAAACATTATCCTCTAATGAAAGACTTCGTTCAAGCTTTTATATTGAAAATAAATGATCAAATAAGATGTATTAATATAGGACTATGGGGGTCTTCATCAGTAATTTGCTGACTTCAAGCAGTTATAGTGTGCTATATCATAAACTAATCATAATATCTGTCTAGAAAAAAATTATATATATACCAATCCAATCCTTAACGGATAAATACATGTAAACATGAGCTGGTATAATTTATTCAGTTGTTAAATTAATGAAAACTTCGAACAATCGACTTGCATTATCTACAGAAATACAATACGAGATAATTCTACAGAAACTAGATCCTGATTAAATGATGTCATGTGATTTTGTAGTCTACTCAAGTTTTCTTTAGTAAACTGCCTTATTAAAACACATACCCAAGGAAAATTGATAGGTGTTTTAAACACTATCTAATTCTTAATCTGTTCATTCCACACTTATTGCGAACATTTATGATCCAAACGTACAATCGGAATGTCTGTATTTATTCATGGCAGTTTACCTATTCAGTGATCTTAGTTACACGCTAATTTTTGAAGAAAGTGGAATCAAAAAATGTAAAATTCATATTTTCTTTATTGTTTATAAATCAAATTAAGATATGAAGTTGTAACAATCAACTGTATATGGATAGGTAACGACCACTATTACAAATGACATTAACCGATAAAAATTTAAAAATTAATTCCGTTATCAACTATTTCACTTACAAACAGGGAGTGAAAGCTAATTTAAAGGTGTTGTTTTACAGTTTCCTGAGTATTTAACATTTCAATTTATTACGACGACAAATAACAAATAATAATACTGACTAGTGTGATCGGCAAGATTCTTCACATAAACAATAAAAGTAATCATTAAGTTAGTGATTCACTATTATTTACCTCGATGTCATCTCGTACAATCCACTTTGGCAATTCTGAAAACTCCATTAGACGTGGTTCCCGTTTCGCCTGTTGACTTTCAGCAAATTGGCGTTCGGCATCTAACCTTTGGTAGATTTCGAATTCTTCTTCATTTCGGGCTAACATCTGATTAATAGTTTCATCATCAGGTGCTTCATCTTCTTCTTCATCGGCTTCTTCATCTTGTTCAAGTAACGCTTGTAAAAACTGACGTCGTTCTGTACCAGTAGACTTTTGATCAAACATACCGGCCTGGATAACTTTTTGATCCACGTCCAATTTGAAACGCGCTGCTGCTAAGATTTTTTCTTCAACTGAATTTATTGAGATTAAACGCAGAACTCGAACCTACCATAGAAACATGGTCACATATATGAATTAATAAGTTTAATTTTTTATCCAGTAAAGTGACCTTATACACGTAAATTATTCACTTTATTTTATCTGCAGGGACAAATCACAAAGTCGTACTATTCAAATCTCTCCAAATAAAACTATGGGTATTCAAAGAGAATTGCAACCACAAATTATTTTAAAATAGACACGAACTTATTTTAAAGTGGAAAAATGTTGCACGTAAACTCATAACTAGTTAATTTAGTCTTTCAGTAATTGAATATGGTGGTAAAACTGGCAGGTAATGCAAAAAACAAAACTCTCTTGCCTCTTCTATGTAAGATAGTAGTTTCAATGGAAACAATTATGGATTCTTGTATTAGGATTACGCATACTGTATGTAAAATGGCATACTAACCAAACTAGAATATACAAGTTGGGAATTATGGATACATCGTATCAATTAAAAATAACGTTAAAAACAGTTAATCGGATTTCCACCATTATGAACAAATGTAATAAATACTTTCTCGTACCTTGTCATCTACTTCGGTCTGAACAACAGACAACCTATCTACAGTAAGTCATCTGCCAAAGAATAAGTGGTAAGGTTCATATATTTCAAGGTTTTTTAATCCCAGACACAATGAAAAGTCATCGACAAAAATATACTGGGAATTGCATACCTCGTTTTGTTGACCAATACGATGAGCACGATCCTGTGCTTGTAAATCTTGATGAGGATTCCAATCTGAATCAAATATAATCACTGTATCGGCAGCTTGGAGATTAAGACCTAGGCCGCCAGCACGAGTTGAAAGTAAGAAAATAAATATATCCTCGGAAGTATCATTAAATTTCACTAGTAATTCTCCACGATCTTCTGAACGAGTAGTTCCATCAAGACGTAGATAACGAAAATTTCGGTAATCAAAGTAGTCCTGAAGAGATAAAAATAATATTTCGTGCGAACTAAATGAAAAATGTAACGAGTTAAAACAATTAAGAAGTCAGAGAGCAGTGATTAACCTCTTTATCTTAGTTTAAGATTCTTTTTGAACTGCCTGTTCTCGATAACATTCCGGATGAAACGAAGGAACTTTAAGTTTAACAGTGAGTATGCCACTAATCATTCAATTAACCAGTGCTTTCAGTTATAGAAAACGTGGCCGAAAATTGCGCAAGTTGAGTTTTATTACGTGGCCGTTTTAGGATTTTTCAAACGTATGAAGACTAAGTTTTGGTCAAGTGAAATTTACTTCCCAAGTGATTCACCTCCAGTTTCAGTAAAATTACCCAAGTAATTTCGGTTAAGGTCATAATTCGTATTTGTTCAGTTTTCATTTATTATCATCTATTTGTAGCATACAGAATGTTTTGACCTAGATTAAATTTGGTTTGAGAGTCATTTTTGAGATGGAGATTTGTAGCTCAGGTGGATGATTTTGATGGAGTTTTGTTCTCTGAACTGGATGGTTTGGTCGTAGAGCTTTCAGATAGAAGTCTATCTGAAGTTTGTGCTGATGACGTCGTTCAGAAGAACGATGAAAGCTCTACGACCAAACCATCCAGCTCCGAGAACAAAACTCCATCAAAAGTTATTTTTGAATTGAGCGGCAGTTTTTCTTATCTATTTGTGAAACAAATGCTGAACTTATTCAGCTTACAGTGACTTTCAACATAGAATGCAGAATTTCACGTTCGATTTTTTTTACAAAGATAAATAACTCAAATATTATTTAAGATAACTTGTGCTTTCAGTTTATTACCATCTTATGAGCTGGTGGTGATGTTGAAGGTAATTGATACTAGTTAATGAAAACAATCAGTATATTAAATTTATTTCATTAACCTGCTTATATCATTTTCATACGAACTGCTATGTGAGTAGATGTTATGTATACACCCCCAAAAATATGAGATTATAGTAACAAACTCGCATATATGTTCCTGATTACAACAATAAACAACTGATCATTCAGAAAAATACTTCATAAACTAACCTGCATAATTGTCATTAAACTTGTCATTTGACAAAATATTAACACACGATGTCCACAACATTTTAATTTGGGCAGAATTCTATCCAGTAACTCGAATTTTCCAGAAGAACGATATAATATTTTACCTTCAACTTGTGTTGGTACTGGTAAAGTTGGTGGGGGGTTACCATTGTGTACATTTAGGAAGTTTTGTTCAGCTATAGCCATTTCGATGTGTGGAAACATAAATGGATGGTTGCAAATCTTTCTAAGCTGCATAATTGTATTCATTAAAGTTCGACAACCACCTTTACCCTAAATATAATGAAAAAATGAAAAATAGCAGTCAATAATACAACAACTAGGGAGTTATCGTTGTTCTAATCTTACAGTTACTTTTTATCCAATAACTCACTCAAAAAATAAGTACCTCTTTCTAATAAAAATCGTTTTTATAAAGGTAAAATAACCATTAAAAAAATAAGAGAACACTAGATTAACATTATTCTTACCATAGAAAGCTTAAAAATGAAAAAGTTAGATTAAATGTCAGTAAAAATGAAGTCTATGAACGAAAACAAGTCTAGGTGAATCAATAATTTACGGACGCGCATGACAGCTAATGACGAGGATATACGAACAGCATATAACAAATCCCAACATAAAGCTTTAGCCAAATATTTGTATAATTGAATTATAAAGAGGAAGTCAAGACAAAATAGGAATTGAGGTGAGCAAAAATAATGTTCGGTAAAAATACAAAACATTTGAAAGGAATCAAAAATTAAGGTATTAATACACCTTTTTTCGTTTTAATTATTGACTTATTAAAGCCACACATATGTGACTGAACCTCAGTTACGTGTACCGCACCCGAAACATGCTTGTACTGTTGGTCATGATATGTGGTTTGTCAGAATATCCATAGAACAAAACTTTAGTATCTGCGTATTGCAAGTCAACAAATGAATCTCCTGATAAGAGGATAAACTTGAAAAGTCAGATGATGAGAATGTTACCATTAAGAGAATTTCCACCGCAATGTTAAATGAGATTGGAGGGAGTGAACAGCCCTGGCAAACACCACTTGATGTGGACGATTTTGATAACAGTTAGCTATAACTTTTGACTCGACCGGCAGTGTTCGAGTAGAGCTTGTACAGAGTTAATGTAATTCTTCGGTAAGCCTTCCAATAACAGATGCCGCCGTGAATGATCACATCTAGATCCTATATGGGTGTTCCGGAGATACAATATAAATCGAAGGAAAGGGATTCTCGAGTTTTAATTAAGGAAGAACGCAACATGTAGTACAGAGAGCGATTTCGATTGCACAGGAATAAAATTTAGCGAACTCAAATCATTAGCATTGATGAAGCATGATAAATAAGTCACATGGAAAGGGTCAATCGTGGAAACCGGGGAAGTATTAGGAAGTGACGGGGAGTTTGATAGTGAACAAAGTGATCTTGGTTGCTATTAAGTGTATGAGAACTATTGTCACGTTTAGGCTGCCCACAACATGGAGAGAAACTTCTGAAAATAAAACTGGAATAGTAGTTTTAGCGATCAGGGAGTGTGATCGGAGAGTCAAAGACACAATCAGTTGAGGTCAGTCACACAGCCTTTACGTGGCAAGTTTTTCATGTGTTTGATCCAGACCTTACTGCTGGAAGCGGAGATAAGTATGGTGAGGTGAAGTGTGACATATTTAGAACCAACCTTTATTAATACATTCCTTCCGTTGATAGGATGCAGTATCACTGCAGATGCTTGCAGTAAAACTTCGATCCCGAACTATAGGTTGATGCTTTTAGTCTTATCGTTATACGATTAACCTGTCTGGCATAGTACGACCGAAAAGAACAAATGTTCTAGCCAATATTGATCAATTTCACAATTGCTAAAGACAAGATAGACCAATACATTAGGGTAGCATCTGCGAGTATGCAATCGCTTCCTATGTTACCTGATACACAAGTTTACACAGTTGAGTCAACTTACTGGAGGTCATTTTTTAAACGAATATAGCTTCTGTTAAAGAAAAAACATTATTCTGTAATATTGATGTCTGTTTCCCTCTTGATACCGATTAAGTTTTTTTTCATAAAACTATAAGAAAATGATCTTTTCCAACTAATTCACAGAGCAGTTAGGTATTATTCAAATTAGCGATCCCAAGTTTTGCAAAATTGTTGTAAGAGCAAACAGAAGTATTGCATCAAAAGGCGATAATCCTGACCAAAATACAGCTTTTGTAGAGACTATAGTTTGTAAGTCATTTATTTATTTATAAGAACATATAATTATTGATACAAAGGGGCACCGAATACATATACGCCACACAAGTCACTTGATTTGTGTGTGGGCTATGATACTGTCCGAGTGCCCAAACCGAAGTAGATAGTTTTCTTAGATGGCCACACCCCGAGCCTTGGACTCAAAGGTCTGATCCACAAGGCAGTGGAGTAACGTTGGGAGATGCAGTCCCATCGTAGCCGGTGATCAACGACTGGTACATACGCCATTTGTTCCTTCAGGATCCTGGAGTCTATGTGCTCCAACGGTTTGGAATCAGGGTTTTCACACTCCCCTAGGTGGACTCTCCGTGTCCACCAACCCGGTTAAAGATTCGGACATTTGCTTTCCGTCCTGTCGATTTCTTATACAACTACCCCGCCCCCAGAAGGCACTGAGTAGGACTTCCGTAGCAGTGGCTGCATATATGTGGCCTTGTGAGAGTATTTCGAGAGGAAGAGCTGTCTCTCCAAACCCTCGGCCGTACCAGGGCATTTGGGGAGTTAAAACTTGACACTCAATTACATACGCAGGACATTTAATGATTAATAGTGCGATTCAACATTTTTCTGATGAAATTATAATATTAACTGTGCGGAAATGTTACTCTTACCTTTTTATCTTTTTCTGATCCATCAGTTAAAATTACACCTTTAGATTGCATATGTGAATAAAGAACTCTTTGTAAATCTGACATTTCACATTTAATCACATATTCAACTTTTTCTGGTAATTGCGATTCTACTTCACGTTTGAGACGACGTAATAAGAATGGTCGTAATACTTTGTGTAATCGACGAATAATAAGCAGGGTTTCTTCCTGGTTCAATTCGACCTTTAATAAATAAAAAAGTGAGACCAGTGTTTATTAATACTTATAAAGCTACGATTACGGTTTAATACAGAAAGCATGATGTAACTGCCTTCTGCTTATATTTACATACATGGTTTACTAAATAAAGGCTTTCACTGACAGGAGTTTAAGACAACGTCATGCATAGCACACACGATATCTGGTTTTTCAACAACATTTCCACTTTCATTGTATTTAGTTTATTTTAAGGAAGACAGGTAAATGATGTCATACTACGATTATTAAATGATCGAAATAGACCTCTTGATTGCACGCTTAAATATATGAGTTTGATAATTTTAAGAAATAGAGAACTAAAAGATATTTTCCTTTAGTTAAGTTGTCGCTCATTTTTTGGACAAACTGAACATACTTCAAAACACAGACAGAAATCAGACGTAATAATTGTATAACAAGAGAACTGATTATAAATAACTCCGGTCAACATTTTTGTGGAAAGAAATTAGCAGAAATATCATTATGATAATCCAACTGCTTGGACGAATAAACAGCGGATTATCGCTATTTATTCCATAGTCGTTGATGATTTAAGTATTAACAAATACAAGCGTCAGTCAGTCACCTAAAAAGTAGGACGCAGAATATACGAACATCAATTCAACCTGCCATACCTCATTAGCAAAATAAGATGAACACCGAAATCATAGAAACAGTTAGTTCACAGATAAAAGGAAAAAGTCTTCATAAGAAGATGAGATACAGGAAGAAAAAACTACTTCGTAGTAAGAAAGCTATTAAGAAAATTCATTCTCACGATTTAATGGAAGACAAAGAGTGTATACACCTAAGCCATTATGATTGATTTTGAGCCATGTCACAAAGAGTCCCCAACCATTGGTTACGATAGTCACGCAGACCCCAACCAAGTAGTTTGCATCTACCAACATGGCTCAGACCAGAAGTTAGTGACTTCAAGCACCGATGCCACATTTTGGTTTGGCTGCCCCTAACTTTCTTCCAACCATCCCCAACACTAGTCAGCATTGCGCATCGTCGTAATCGGTGTTCAGGCATACGTAACACGTGGTTCAACCATCTCAGTCGACGAAGATTCACAACTTCATCAACTGATTTACCATTATTCCCTAATACCCTGCGCGTCTAACCTCACTATTACTTACCCGGTGATCCCAGCAGACGCCAGCAATATCTCTAAGGCATCTATGGTCAAATACTAGTAGCTTACAAGTGTCTTCTACTCTCAATGACCATGTTTCGCTGCCGTAAATTAAAACAGAACGGATTGCCGCGCAGTATACTCGTCCTTTTATTGATAGACGGATATCTCGCCCTCGCTATAGGTGACGTACGTTGGCAAAAGCCAAGCGAGCTTTTCGAAACCGTGCTGAGATTTCGTCAGACATCAAACCATTAGGACTGATCAGACTTCCAAGATAAGTGAAGGTTTCGATGCGTTTGACTACTTCACTCCCTATCCTTAGTTCAGATGTTGACGCAGGCCAGTCTTGAAGCAACGATTTGCATTTAGAGGGAGAGAAGCGCATTCCAAACATTTTGGCATTGTTGCTTAGTGCTACCAAAAGACTTTGCATTGTCCCGATCTTTCCGAGTTCTTACAGAGCCTATTAACCGAACAGCACATAGACGACTGTTAACGGGGATCCACTCTAATAGTGCTTGTTCCACGAGAACTAGCCATCGGGTCGCCAGATACACGGAGGGTGTAGCTCGTCGGCTCTCCGTTTTGGCGAGGTGAGATCAAGTGAATGGCCACACTAGGATCCTGTATGCGTGTTTTCGAGACACAGCATATATCGATGACACGAGATTCTAGGATTTTAGCCAAGGAGGCCTGCTGACCGAGTTGACATAGGGTGAGTACGTCGAAGACTCCAATGTGTAGTTCATAGCGAGGTCCCAGTATACCTAGGACAGCATTTCGCGATCTAGAGTCGTCGGTCATGGTGACACTCGAGGATGTTTAGAGTTAATAGTCGAGGTAGAAGATATAGTAGGGATCGAAGTGTGGAAGTTTATTATGAATTAGTGGTCTTAAATGCTGTTCGAGTTGTGAGGGCGGTTATCACTACCCAGTTACGCACACTGTGAAAGGATTCTTCTTGAGGTACTTGAAAAGGAAATAGGGACAGAGTGGGTCTTCGTGTTAGCTCCGTAGTTGTTGAGACATTACCACTGGAGACGGAAATCCATGGGATGAGGCGGTGTCGTAATAAGACAAATTATAACAATACGCCAAGAAGTGATGTCTGATATTTAATATTCACCAATAAGGAAAGCAATATTATTTAGCAAGTAGAAAGCAGTGCATCTCAGAAGTGCTGACTATACGTTAAATTCCGAAAATATAAACACAATACTTCTTACAAACAAACAAAAATTCGACATGACTATACGCATACTTTTTCTCCTGTTGCAGCGAAAGGAGCATTAAACCACTGTTCAAATGTATTGACACTTTCAAAAATTGTTGGCAACAAGAAATTCAGTAGAGCCCATAATTCAGGTAATTTATTTTGCAGTGGTGTACCAGTGAGTAGAAGTCGATATGGTGCAGTATAATATGTGTTTAATACTTGAGTCAATTTACAATGGTGATTTTTCATTCTATGACCTTCATCAATTATCATGTATTTCCACTTCACCTGTTCAATAATTAAATAAAAAGAAATGCATGAAAGTAGCTAATACATTACAAACAAATAATGTTTTTGAAAGAAAAGAATTATTCATTCTCACTAAAATAAAAACTGGTAGGTAATTAAATGCAACCACCTACATTAAAACAAAAATATACAATCCTCAGAAACGATATGGGGATTTTATATAAATTTGAAAAATGATAAGTCCCACAGTCTTGGTCACCAATTTTATATGACAATTATATACAAACTAAAAAATGACCGATACGTTGAAATCTCAAATAAATATCAAACCTGACTAGTAACACACATCATTCGAGAGACTATGTAATAGCTTATTTAAACGATCCATAAAGAAGAGGTTCGACCAATAAAATGAAATTGACCATATTTATAAGGTAAGCACCAAAGCACGCTTCAATAAACAAAAACAGTTCTACTTAATGGACAAACTATAAAGTTAAATTTCCCAATATTGTGAGATTGTACTTTCGCTTAAAAAACATGTTCCATAGACATTAAACAGGAAGAATGTATTTGTAAAATCTCAGCGAATGAATTTGAAGTAAATCCAACGTTTCGCCTGGCAATTTAGTCCAAGCTTTTTCAAGGAAATATAATCAAACATCAAAATTATCGAATATAAATAGGTACATGGTTCTCCGGTTTACTGTATACTGAATAAGTCATCCAATCAACGTTAAGAATGTTTAATGTAGGTATTTACATTAGTGTGTACGAGACATGTGGTGTGAAAACGAAATGTGTTATGATAACAGATTGTGTGTGTACGTAAGTGAGAAGAAATTTCATTCACTGTATATTGTCTTCGGTCGGTGAATATTAAGAAAACATATAATTTTTTATATACGATATGAATCAAAAATGTCACAGCATGGATTAAGTGAAGATAAATAAACACGATAAAAGAATGAATTCAAAGCTGAAGAATTTGTAATCGAAAGTTAGTGTTGTTTTAATGTTTCAGCCGATTGTTTAACATATTCAGATAAGATAACTGATTTGAACCGTTGAAAGTAACATCTGTTAATTAGTTTAATACGATATAGATAGAATGGAATAAGGAGTTCATATTTACTTATTAATTATTTGTTGCCATGGGACAGCTAATTGTATTCCATCTCTCCTATCAATACTGTTTGGATTAGCCCATATATGTAGGGCTTCGACTGTTAGTCTTTCTTTGTAAGAATTAAAGCCTTTTTGAAGGATTCTTGTGCCACTGAAATCAACTGTATGACCCGATTCTATCGAGTGTAATGCTATCGCTGATTTGTCCTCGGTTTCTTTTTACCTCAACTGAAGATTTAGGGATGTGCTTTAAACATAGTTTATGTTCCTTCACCCTTACATTCAGTTACCTTGACGTTCCACTTACATACGTTGCATTACAGTCACTACATTTGATTTCATAAACACAATCCTGTTGTACTTCCTTGTGTATTGGATCTATGATTCTTACTAGTTAGAATCCTTCTGAAATACGTTTACGATATGGGATCACCACTGTGTTAATTCATTCTTTTGCTTAACTCTTTTTTAATAATATCGTTTTGTTCTTCATTCTTAATTATTCTTTTAATAAAATTTTTCGGATAATTACTCATCAAAAGAGTGGATATCATTGAATTCATTTTCATTTCTATATCATTTGCTTTAGTGACAAGCTTTTTAACTCTGGTGATCAAATTTTTGGCTACTGTCACATTGGTAGAGTGTGGATGCGCTGACTAAAAATACAGAAATTCTGCCGAATATGTGGGCCTTCGGGAAATACTAATTTTTAAACAATATCCTGAACGCGAATCGCCTTTTCGAGACCGTTAAGTTGAAAGGAAGCGTTAGCAAAGTAAAATCAACACCGGAGTCATAGAAGTAGCTATTTCAATGGTGGTAATATATGAAAGAAAGATTATATATAAGGATATAGTACAGGAAGAAACAATTATTACGTAGCATGATATGACGCAATTTTAATCTCATAGATTAATGGAAGACAAAGAGTGTATACACCTAAGCCATTATGATTGATTTTGAGCCATGTCACAAAGAGTCCCCAACCATTGGTTACGATAGTCACGCAGACCCCAACCAAGTAGTTTGCATCTACCAACATGGCTCAGACCAGAAGTTAGTGACTTCAAGCACCGATGCCACATTTTGGTTTGGCTGCCCCTAACTTTCTTCCAACCATCCCCAACACTAGTCAGCATTGCGCATCGTCGTAATCGGTGTTCAGGCATACGTAACACGTGGTTCAACCATCTCAGTCGACGAAGATTCACAACTTCATCAACTGATTTACCATTATTCCCTAATACCCTGCGCGTCTAACCTCACTATTACTTACCCGGTGATCCCAGCAGACGCCAGCAATATCTCTAAGGCATCTATGGTCAAATACTAGTAGCTTACAAGTGTCTTCTACTCTCAATGACCATGTTTCGCTGCCGTAAATTAAAACAGAACGGATTGCCGCGCAGTATACTCGTCCTTTTATTGATAGACGGATATCTCGCCCTCGCTATAGGTGACGTACGTTGGCAAAAGCCAAGCGAGCTTTTCGAAACCGTGCTGAGATTTCGTCAGACATCAAACCATTAGGACTGATCAGACTTCCAAGATAAGTGAAGGTTTCGATGCGTTTGACTACTTCACTCCCTATCCTTAGTTCAGATGTTGACGCAGGCCAGTCTTGAAGCAACGATTTGCATTTAGAGGGAGAGAAGCGCATTCCAAACATTTTGGCATTGTTGCTTAGTGCTACCAAAAGACTCTGCATTCTATCAACGTCTTCACCAAATAGGACTATGTCATCTGCGTATTCTAAATCGACAGGTGGACCTCCTGGAAGGAGATCAATGCCCTTGTTACTCAACTCAGTTCTAATGGGTCTTTTTAGTGTGGCTTTTTTGCGTCCAGTGAGGCGCAAGCAGATGCGTGCCCGTTTTAGAGCATAGTCGGAGTCCAAGCAGGTACTCCAGAATGAACGACAATCTTCTACCGACCCTCTCCAACGATGACTGATGGCAATATGGTCTATTTGAGTCCATCGTTGATTTGATGTAGGGGGTCGCCATGTTAGACGATGTCTCTCCTTATGCTGAAAATTAGTGTTTGCTAAAAATAAACGATTGTCTGAGCACAGTTGCAGCAGACGATCACCATTATCTGTTCGCTGTGTCGGAATACCAAAATACCCACCTAAATGTCTTTCTGTTTGGCTTAAGCTACCTACTTGGGCATTAAAGTCACCTCCTACGAGTACTATGTCTGAACGTTTAGCTTTCTGTAAAATCCATCTCTCTCTTCATCCGAGCTGCAGTCAGTGGGAGCGTAGGCAGAAACGACAAAAAGGCAACGACGTGTGTCCCGATCTTTCCGAGTTCTTACAGAGCCTATTAACCGAACAGCACATAGACGACTGTTAACGGGGATCCACTCTAATAGTGCTTGTTCCACGAGAACTAGCCATCGGGTCGCCAGATACACGGAGGGTGTAGCTCGTCGGCTCTCCGTTTTGGCGAGGTGAGATCAAGTGAATGGCCACACTAGGATCCTGTATGCGTGTTTTCGAGACACAGCATATATCGATGACACGAGATTCTAGGATTTTAGCCAAGGAGGCCTGCTGACCGAGTTGACATAGGGTGAGTACGTCGAAGACTCCAATGTGTAGTTCATAGCGAGGTCCCAGTATACCTAGGACAGCATTTCGCGATCTAGAGTCGTCGGTCATGGTGACAGTTGAGGTGGAAGCCAGAAGAGGAAGTTTATAGTCGAATGTCGATGTAGGGGGAATAATAGGAATTGATGAGGGAGGTTGATTATGAACAGAGTGGTCTTATGTGATGTTAATGTTGTGAGTTCGTTTGTCACTTCACGATTGCCCACACCGTGGAAGGGTTCTACTGGAGGTACCTGAAAAAGAAATTAGATTAGATGTGGTCTTAGTGACCTGAGAGCGTGACTGCAGTGCCCAAGGGTCAGCTGCTTGAGGTCGGTCACACACGACCTTTTTATGGGTAATTTTTGTGCTAGCTCCGTACTTGTTGAGACCTTACCGCCGGAGACGGATATCGTGGGATAAGGCGAGGTGTGCATTTTTAGGGTCGATCTTTTCTAACCCCACCCCTCCTTGTGGGAAGGCAGCATCGATGTTATGCTGGTTGTCTGAAGGAAACACCTTATTGCCGTCACACCTCTGTACAGTCATTAGTTCGACTTCTTCGGACCTTGGATTTGCTGCTTTTAGTCTTACCATTATCCAACCGATCTGCCTGGCATGGTAGGACCTCGAAGAACGATTGTTCCAGCCAGTATCGCTCGGTCGATTCATCACGATAGGCAAGCCCGACCACCACGTCAAGGTACCAACAACGGTCGGGTTATGCAGAAATAAATAAGATCTATCTCATTACTGTACCTCACTCAACGATATTGTTAGTTAATCGTGAATATTTTCGAAATACCAACTACCATAAACAATCCGGAACTGATAAAATTTTCATTTAGTTGTAGCTAATTAAAGGTAGAAAACAAATCCTTAATATAAGGATTTTTAAATCCGCCAATATCGTAGATACGCAGTTAGTGTGCATAATCATATTCAGCAAACCATTAGATATAGGGTAATTACTATACACTTTACGGTGATCACGTCTATCAGGATATCAGATAATGAATGTAAAGGATGCAAAAACGAAGAATATAGAATGAAGATAAATGACCGAGTAAAAATGGCCGAACTCAGTTAAAACGAATTATAGAGCTTGGAGTACGACACGTTATATAGAGAAACGAAACAACTTTAATACGCACCCATTAATTATATCTACCGTCATCTTACAAACAATAACAAAATAATCTTACGGTAGTGTTTGCAGGCAGTTTAACGGTATACATGTATTTACAGACATTCCAGACCAGGATGCTCTTTCACTTGGAAAAATCTGTTGCTAATTTAAACTTTCTCGAGTTCCATCATAAGCTTAGCAGAGATTCTATTATTGTTTTTTATGATGCATAGCTCGATTGTGGTTACAAAATTGATTGAGTAATACGTGAATTAGGTTTAAAGAATCTATGGAGAACAGCAAGTCAGCTAATGAAATTGTAAACCTACATTGATTGATGTGTTTAAGTCGTATGTAACACGTGCTAAACTACCGATCATCCAGATGCAATATAAGTAGGATGGTATTCTTTTAAGAGAGATTGTATGAAGACATAGTATTGCACCATGAGGAAAATGAATAACTGTGAGATATAAGTGGGACTATTTACTCTTTATATATGATAACGTACATTAGTGAAGCCCGGAGTAAGAATGTTCAAAACTAATTACAATAATGCAAATAAATCCATCCATTAGATTTATCGTAAATCTTGGATACTATATTATACAATATCCACTTGCTTTTCGTTTTTGCCATGTACCAAAACTGTCAGTTCCTATATTATTCGATAAATATAACTACCCACAAACATGATATATTTATAAAAACTGAAAACTAATGGAATTCATAAACGTACTTTAGAAAGAGCTGATTTATCTTTAATAATATATTCGTAGGTTGTTAACAGTACATTGATTTTTGATGCTTTTATTTGTGTTTGAAGAAGTCGACGAGCTTGAGGTGAACCTTTATATAATATCTTTTTCACACTTGGTCCCCATCGATCGAACTCCATTGCCCAATTAGACATGACTCTACAATCGCAAAATCAATAAAGATCAAAAGACCTTTAAAGTGAATGTACCAAAAATATATAGTTGCCGACAACTGTGTTATCTATGACATATATAAATTCTAATAAAACTACAAACACGAGTTAGATAACATATGGTTGATTTTAACCACTTAGAAAGCAGAAATGGTTGAGTTAAGAAACAGAATGACAGAAACTGAGAGAACGGTAAATAAAAATAAGTAAAATTTCTGTTAAAATACGGAGCAGATTTACGTAAATAGTTTGGAAGTGTAAAACAAAAAAAAACACATCTTTTACAGAATCGCGAACCCTCACTAAGTTTTGCCAAGTGAACCGCAAGGACCGACAAAAACGGATATCCTGAGTTTCAACTGATTGTAAAACCTTTGATCAAAAATACAATAAGTTGTGCGAATATATGAATAAGCAGAACAGAATAGGCAGTTTCTTATCTGTTTAATGACAAATATGAAAATGGTTTCAATACAATATGTAGATACAAGAGGATAAACAATTACCACAGAAAAATAAGATAATGAAAGCAACGTAAACCTTAACTTACGAAAGCGGTACAATAATCAAGAACGGTCCATTAACGCGTTTCCTTTCCATTAGGTACGTAATCAAAGCGATTGTCTGAATCGTTTTGCCCAGACCCATCTCGTCAGCAAGTATCCCATTAAGGTTATTGTTATATAATGAAACAAGCCACTCGAGACCCCTCAATTGATATTCTTTTAATCGACCATGGACAAGAATACTAGCTTGTTCTTTAACTTCTTCTCGTACAGCATGAGCAAGAGTATAATAGGATTGAGGTGCATTTGCACCAGATTCACCACGTTTATTATATTCATCATCTTCCGTCCCGACATGTACCATACTATTGTCATCATCATCATCATCGTCATCAAATTTACGTTTACGCTTGAACTCTTCGTCTGGTTCCAATAAGTCATGTATTACTGACCCGTCAGTATCAGTTGGAAGAATCTGTTAGGCAAATAATTCACAGAAAAATCTCAACTACATAAAAATTACTTTTCTTTGGATGGAATCTAACAAGAACGTACCCACAAGATTGTATAGTGAGAAATAAAAAAACCAGAATTAGAATAGATTTAAAATACCAACCAATGAGAAGAAAATCATGATAACAGCACTTACAACAACCTTCATTTGTGGATTATCTTTCGAGGCCTGGACTAGGCCAAAAAGCAGAGAGATAGTTTATTACACGGTGGTACGGCAACTAGAACTGATGCACGTACGTACGAAGTTTTACATTGTTACTGACTGACTGACGGTGACGAGTCATGAAAGTTGTATATTGCTGGTATCCATCAGGCTATTACGATTCCTAGAGATTCCGTAAATCAGTTGCGTAATTCATTAACAGACATGACAAAGAAGTTAACAGCAATCCAGTTGTAAATTGGTTTTAGACTCTTTATGAAAGAGACGATTTTTCCTTAATTGAAAGTTTTACTTGTTTGTATTGTTAACTGCATTGTATCTACTCTAAACTTACTCTTTATCGACTGTAATCTATTGTCCTTCTTCATTTCTTCACGTTGTTGCTTTGCTTTGTGGAGCATATTAATTTTGGTGCTAGGTTGAACGAAATCTTACGTGGATTGCGAAATCAATAAAAATAAAATATAAATGTTCTGAAATTCAGGTCAATGACTTTTGAGTGGTTGCAATCTTTAGTTTTCTCTTTAAAAAAGTATAAGATGAAACTAGTACTGACCAATCATATAGTAAAACGTAGACATTACGATATATTTAGACGTAGTAATTTTTGGAATTCCATGTTTAATTTTACTGTAACTGACTAAATATTAATTCATTTGTCTGGAATTCAGTCACATTTTGAACCTATCTATTGTTAGAAAATTGGATGCTTCAATCACCAAGTCAATGATTCATGTGGGTTAAAAACGGGAAGCGGAATGTCATAAAAATCTGAAAGTACTCGACAGAGACGAAATTTTGTCTTCTCTTTAATATTAAGGATTTGTTACAATGTCATACGCCTCTACCAAGTGTTTTGTTTTCAATCCAATGAGCGTAAATTATACGTTTTCCTTCTGTAAATTAAGGGATATAAGTACTCTTATATCATTAAAACCTCTCCAGTTGTATCAGTACAATTAACTGATTGTAGTATTCAGCTTCACACAAAATATATACGGATACGATCCTGATACGAGAGCCTAGATATAACTCATGATTTGGATTTACTTAAAATTCTTCCCTTCATTTTTTCAGCGTGTCATGACGAGTAACCAATAAGTATTAGGAACCAAATTAATATCTAAAAACAAAAGGGATACCAGCCTACCTCCCAGCCCTGGTGTTCTTGTAGCCAAGTGCAAACTTCTGAGGCTAAAGGAGCAGCATCACCTTCAACAATTTCTTTTGTTGTTGTTTGATACATAGGTATACGCACGTCAGGTAACTGGATGTTAGAAGACGACATTTTGCCACATAACCAGTCACGATTCACTTGATTAAGTTCTTCAGGAAATTTCTCAGTAGATGGAAGAGTAGAAAAATAGGCCGGGGGTTGTCCACCGCTTTTAATGACATCATCAGCCAATTTTCGATAGAATACAACAGCATTTTGCAGAGCTGACTCCTGTGCAAATTTTCTTCTTTCCGACCGTTCCCTAAAACGCTGCTTACTTTGCTCTCGTTTATGTTCACGAACAAGTTTAGTCAAATTACTAATAAATTCATCTGTTTGGGTGAGTAAGTGATGAAGTCTCTGGTCTTTTTTCGCATCAATAAGACAGCGATAACCTTCCTCATCTTCAGCCATAAGACGTCGCATACGCTCACGATCAATTCGTTCTTGTTCTTTTCTTTTGTCACGCTCAGCATTGGCTTTGTAATTTAGAACGGCTTTGTTTATTTTCACCATTCTGCTGTTAACATTACGATGAAACTCTCGGAAATCTTTTCCGTGGCTAAGAACAGCATTCAGAAATTCTTGATGTTTTTGACGACGCCTTTTTTCTTGCTCATGTTTCATTTGTTTCTCCAACTTTTCCGTGAACCGAGCCTCTCGAAGAGTTTGTTTTTTCGGCCTTCTGTACGCCTTGACATTAAGAGCTGTCTCAAGGCTCGTGTCTCGGCGCATAGCTGACACTATGTCTTGCCTTAGTTGTCGCTGAAAATTCAGTAGACGCAAAGCACGAAGTTCAATCAATAATGATACTCTTTGTTCCGATGTACTAGATACAGAAAGACTACTTAGTTCTTTGATACGCTGCGCAATGCGAGACTGGATACGCTGTTCCCTCTCTTTTAGTAGCTCTACGGGATCCAAACCCTGAGGTCGTTGAATAGGAGTAAGTCTACTCCTTCCATATGTGCCAGTACCCCCAGGCAGAAAGGTTCCATTTGAAGATGAGGTTGTATATGATTGATAGCCTACTGGGGGACCTATACGTGCAGCCACTAAACTGGGTTGGATATTAGGTCTTACTCGAGATATTGCTAGGGCAGGATTCGCCGGATGGAATTCACTCTGAACGACAGACGACTGAGGAGACCCGACAAATGGCGAATTTTGCATGGAGTTTACAGAAGATTGATTCCATTGTTGTACAGGGACATTTGGTGCAGGTGGTCCACTCATAACAATAGGTGCATGACTGAGTAACTGTCTTCCTTCGGCCGCTAGTAATAATGTTTCAGGGACTGGCTGTGATTTGGAAAGTAGCTTGAAAGCGTTAATCTGTGCCCGCAATTGAACCAACTGATCCTTCATAAATGGACCCTGTTGAACTGGTGCGACCGACATTCTCATTGATCCTTCGTACATACAGAAAGTAAAAGAAAAAATTGAATAGTTTAGTGGAAAAACACATTTCATGTGAATCGATAGGCATAACAACGTATGACCTCGAGCTAAAAGGTTGATGAGCTTAAACTCACAAACTTCATAAAAAGACAGAGAAAAAATAAACAAAAACAAAAAGACGTTGAAATGAAAGGGAAAGAAAAGTATTGTAAAACTAAGTTACTTAGTTGTAACTTGATCATTTGCTTGTAGGGTGATATTAGTTTATCTCGCGCACTTATCATGAGACGACTGAAGTACAAATAATAATGTCCGTAAATGTTGGTTATTATCTTTGTACCATAAAAGAAGTATCACGAAGTCATATTTCAGGTTGGATAAAGGAGTTAATAGATGGCACACACCGTTGTTGAAGAACAGTTCACTTTTAATATAAATCTATACCCATGTTCCAGTCAGTTGTCAAGATGTGGATCCACCACATAGAATACGAAAAAATCACTTGGCACAACACAACATGTATGATCTTTGTCAATGATCACCAAATTACGGCCTAATCAACATTACTGATGGAAATTTATGTATAACTTTTGGCTTCTGACACTTGACAGAGGTTAACAATATTAAAATAATGCTAACAGTTTTTCACACTGTTTTACCGTTTCATGGTTAATGCAATTAAGTTTTTTAAGTATCTCTACTGGCATCTAAAATGTTACCACCTCCAAGATTTTCCTCAACGATTTTCAGCTGCTTACTAAAAGAAGCCAAATGACTTACAGATATATGACAGCTGGGGATTTATTCATGAAAGCAACAAATACGGTGTTGTTGTTGTCCCTATAATGAAACAACACACTCCACCAACGACAATAACAAGACCGGATATATTTTGCGAGGACCAGTTTTCAGAAATGACACTTAAAATCAATTTTCCGGTTCATAGGGTATCTTATTTAGTGACTCCAAAGATCTTTCTCGAGAAACAAATTACAACCAGACATTTCAAAGAGAAATCGAACAAACCACTGGGTGTACTGATTTTTCACCCGTACCTACAAGGTCCCATCATACACATAATTTGCATTCCGTAAATTTATTTGGTAAACTGAAAGAGTAGAAAACTCATAAGTTGGTAATTGAAACCAATTTCGTAGCAGTTAAAGCCATTCTAAAAAGCCTGAAAGCCACCTGAAGGATGAAAAGCGACAAGGAAACGTCTTTCTGTAAGTTAAGGTAATAGATATGATACATAACAAAGCTGAAATCTAAAAGGTCTAAGTACAGATTGGTCAAACCAAAGACGAAAAACACCAAATTAAGCGCAATCGAGATTCAGATGTCCAATGGCTAAAATCATTTTAACTCTACAAAATGCTAATCGATTGCAGTACAGCCAGTCACTAATTCTAAAAGAACTTATACTTCACACTACATGTACATTTTCAAATATAGTTTTTCTTGGCGCAAGATGATAGACTAGTATCTATATTTCTGTTCTCAACTGGAATTCATCTGTGGTTGTCTAATCTCATGTTGAAACTGAAGTCTATGAAGACAAACGACACTTCCTTCGACAGGACGTTCAGTATTTTAGCCAACCTGTGTATAGTAATAAGTTTACTCTCTCTGATAGGTATTAACATCTTCCACATTAGTCCCTGATCCTAATGACCAAGTTTAACGAGATTCGTGGGATTTTCAGATTCCTTTATTATGTTTTTATAATTCGTCGGACTAATTTAAAGGTGATTTTTCCGTATATCTGTTATCTATAGTTTCAGGATAGGCTGCAAAGTGAAAGATTTCTGCACATCATACTGGACAGGTGGTTTTTACAAATGATGAATTACACGTTGGATGATCTTTGATTGTAAGTGTTTGAGTTAGTTATGTGGATAAATCATCTAGATGGGCATGAATTCAATCTAGGTTCGAATCAATATTTTTCCTACAGAGACGCGTACTTAATTGGTCGCCGTTGTTCCGAAGTGTCATTCTTTTGGACGAGTCGAAGCATTGACCAGTTTAGATGTGGCGATAGTAGCGTCTGAACATAACCGTAAACACTGTATTTCCGGAGTCAAAACCAGCCGCAGAATCGTATTCAAAAGAAATCATTACACTAGTGTATACTTTGGACAACCTGAAGGACAAGTTTACATAATGAATGAGGAGTAGCAACACGATTATTTATATACAATAAACCATCGGAGCGGTGCGTGTTTCCTCTCCTGGAAAAATAGACATGGAATCTGCGTTTCAAACTGGCACTTCTAACTTTTCCTATAGCACTGAGTATATACCCAAAGTATAGAAAAGTTTCACTTATGAGATCAGGACGGCTCACCGGTAGAAGTCGTATTAATGGGCAGTTTGCTGTATCAACATATTTACCTCGTGAATACCATCGAAATAGATCATTAACATAAATATACCACAAGTACACATAACACCTTTATAATCGAAGTATGCCAACCCAGTCAAATCAGAAGTCAGAAATGAAGACATGTGAAGATATATTTGGAGGGCTGTTGATATCTCGAAGTGTTTGGTCTAAGTTGTCTAACGAATGTACGAGATGCACAGCACGGTATACCCACTTGTGATCTAATGCGAACTCGTGACCAAGCGCCTTCAGCTAGATGTGTCCACGAAAAATAGTCAGTGTCGAAAACTTACAGAACTATTTATCTTGAGTATTTATTTACTCCTACAACTCACCCCCCACCTAGTGCGCTAGTGATGACACTAAAACGTAGTCAGCCAGGAGCGTAGGCACAACGAGCTTGTCGTTGTTAAACACTCTTCAGGTACCTTGCTATGTTCAGTATAATCGGATTGCCTTTCCCCAATATAAGAGGCTATATGGCGCAATATATAGCAATGAAAGTGTGTGCCATGAAAAATTCTATTCGTTATGTTCTTCGTGGTTTTTATTCTTTTCCGGTCGTTTGGTAAAAAAAAGATTTGTACACGCATGTATAAGTACACTCGTACGTTCGCATAGACAAAAAATGTGCGAAACGAATGGCAAACATGGGTGCGCATAGAATAAATAAGATAGCGTAAAACATTTTGGCACAATGATTTCTGGTCTTGTTTGCCCTTTTTTGTCACAAGCAATCTGGACAGTACATCACTGTTAATTCATAGTAGCTGAGAAATGTGCTAAAGATTTTTCAGAAGGATAAATTAACTCTAAAAATTCATGTTCTGTAACAATAGTGAATTTCTTTACAATTAAATATTTATGATGTAGTCTAACTGTCCGAAACACACAATACTTCTCGCTGAGCTTGCGAATAACCTTGCTTAGGAACAGTAGGCCTGCGCAAGACACAGATTTCTGGTCTAACTTTCTGCTCTAAAACTGCATCAAAACCCAGTAGTGATTTATCATTAATAAGTACGGAACGAAGACTTTTAAACTGAGCGTGCAAAACAGCAGCACTACGAAGAAATTGTAGTAGACATTGTATGTATGACTCTGGTTTCCCACCTTATTCAAATGAGTTTTATGTTAAGATTCTAAGTAAACAAATAGTATACAAAAATTTCAGGAGGAAAATTGAATTAATATTGAAGAATAATCCACAGTAAATGTAGTTTTACTAGCTTTTCGCTGATAGTGTGTTTGTCAACGACTAGATATTTAAAACATTGCAAACCAAATGCATATAATAAACACTGATTTGGATTAAGCGTAATAATCTTCTGAATTAAAAGAATCAACAAAACAACAAAAATTCGAACATGAGCTGCTTTATCAGGATTATGAATCATAAAAACATAATAAAATCCAACGAACTCAAGGTTACTTACTACACTACTCATCAGTTATTGAAACACAAGTAGTAAAAAATTAAGAAAAAACGAAATGTGGATGAATAATAAACATGATATATCTGTAATATCCCAATGGGTAGAAAAATTAAACTTTCTGGCACTTCATCACTCAATGTAATTTAATTCTACAGGGAATAAACAAACAAATTAACTCAAGCTTAAGTAGTACAAAAACACAAAGCAAGAATATATTGGTGCGATCAATAAAAAAGGTCTAATCAAGTTACTTTCATGTCATTTCGGTCAAGGCAAATTACGTGAGGAGTGTCTGTATATTTGTATGTACGTATGTATTTTAAAGGATGAAAAGATGTGACATTTGTGGCTCAAAAGGACAAAGCTGAGTTTTTGTAGGATAATGGTGTGAGATGTGACTAGAACCAGACATGGTAGCTCGGACGGATAGTTCAAGTTAGATGGGTAGTGAGGCATTTTTTTCTATTGAAGGCATCAGGATTAGGCAATATATAGAGAGATTCAGTGACTCTATTTTCTTTATAGTTGTAAAAGCCTTTATATATTATCTTGAAGTTTTTAAGATCGACTTGAATATTATTGAGAATTGCATTGACTGCTATTGCCGATTCAATCCTCAGTCTTCTTAGTTCTGTGGGGTTATTATGTTGTTTTTTTGTGAACCTAAGACGTTCTTTGTCTCTTGTCAGGATTTCACGAGATTACCCTCTAATATAGAAAACATCACAATCAACACAACCTCAATTGTATACATAATTCTGTGATGACATAATGTGGATTTTTTTCTCTAAGCGAACAAAAGTATTTCTAAGGGTGTTCTTCTTTTGTAACATACTTTAATTCTGTGTTGTTTTTAAAACTCTTTGAGTTTCTTCTATCGTACCATGTTGGTATGGTAAAATTACAGTACAAATTCATGAAATTTTATTCACGCTATCGTTTAGCAGTAACATATTTTGTTTTATTTCATTTTTATTATTCTTCATAGAAAAATTAATAAATTGTAAGGCATTAATTACATGCTTTCATTATTTTTGTTTATCGTTTTCAGATGTATTTATCTTGTTTGCACTTATAAAGAATTCATGTCAACAAAATATCATCTACATATTCGACACAAATTCGTGATTTATTGTCATTGGCGAAAATTTCTTACTTTTAGCGTAAGATAGACAGGCTGA